CCCCCCAACCTTACCACATCACAAAAAACTGTTTGAAACATTTCTGAAACCATTCGAAGTGTGCTACAGGGCCTGTACAAAACCACCTGTAGAAACACACTCTCCTCTATGCGCACTAGTCACTTTTCACACACACTGCTTTGTGCACATAATCCCACAAAAGACTCCGAAATATGTGTGTTTACAGGCTCATGCACTACAAATCATCTTGCACTGTTCCCCAGCCAGCTGCTTGACTTACGATGTTTGTCTTTGCACATGTACAGGTTAGCTGTGTATAGGTACAGTGTTTATGTGAAGCATCCGTATAGTCTGTATTTTTTTAACTTATGTATAGGTAGCCAGCTGCTTGACTTACGATGTTTGTCTTTGCACATGTACAGTATTATGTGAAGCATCCGTATAGTCTGTATTTTTTTAATTTATGTATAGGTAAACATTTATATATAGTATATGTATAGTCAAAATCAGTCAGTAAGGCTAGTTGTGTATAGGTTTTACTGTTTTACTTCATTGTTGTATGCCTGTATTTATGTAGCACCGTGGTCCTGTGAGGCACGACATTTCATTCCACTGTATGTCCCCACATGTACCAGAATGACGATAAAGCTCAACTTGATCTTGAACTTGAACTTGAAAATTTGTCTGATGAGACTCTCTTAATAGGCAAATAAAAAGTGCAATAAAGTCATCACAATATTCAATTTTATATCAACAGCAAAATCATTATGACTATATCATGAATGTTCAATATATAGCACAGGCCTATTTACAACAGTAGATTTTGTTACAGTTCATCCTCTCTCTCTTTTTCAGACTGTGGCACTTGTGCGTCCTGGATCAGATTCCTCCCAACCTGCCCAGCGTTTGATGTCCAACTCTCTCTCCAACCCTGCCATGTCTCCTGCTCCTCTAACATCCCCGTCCTCTCTCCCCTCCTCACACCCTTCTGCCCCGGTCCGCACCACCAGTACTGGCCCCAGCCTCTCTCCTGCTGCCCAGACCAAACTCGCTGCCACGAATGGCACCACCGGGCTGAAAATGTCCAGTCTGGGTCAGAGTCCAGTTGGGCAGAACCCACAGGAATGCTCTCAGGACAAGCAAGCAGAACAAGCCAAGCTGGTGAGAATTCTCAGAATAAGATCTGATCTTAGTATGCATTAAAGTAGCACATTTTGTAGTATATGCTGCCTATAATGTCTGACACAAGATTGTAACATGTCTTTGTAGGAGAGTCATGTGCACCAACGCATTGCAGAGCTCCGTAAAGAGGGCCAGTGGTCAGCCAGTCGCTTACCCAAGCTGCAGGAGGCTTGCAGGCCCAAATCCCAGTGGGACTACCTGCTGGAGGAGATGCAGTGGATGGCTGCTGACTTTGCCCAGGAAAGGTGCTGGAAGATGGCTGCTGCCAAGAAGGTGGGAAGAAACACACTCAGTCTATGATATTAGAAACTTCTCAGGCAGTATTAACACAGCCGATTGTATGTTTATCTGATGTAGAGGTCGGATGTAACAATGTATTTGGCCACATGTTCTAGTGCCAGTGACCATTCATTATGGACCAGGCTAAAATTCTACTTTGATTTTAAGTTAAACAATCTCTCTCTTTAGCTTGTGCGCACATGTGCGCGTTACCATGTTGAACAGAAGAAGATGGAGGAACGTGAGAAGAGGGAGGAGGAGATGAGGCTGCGGCACATTGCCAGCACCATCGCCCGTGGGGTTGACTATTTCTGGTCAAATATTGAACAGGTACATTTACATACCATTTATACCAGTGTTAAATTAGTATTATAATAGTATTTATTAATATTTGAGTTTATTTTAGTTTTAGTCATTTTAGTACTTCAACTTACTCATTTTGTTTCAGTTATTCACCAAAACAAAATTTCTTTTTTTTTTCCTATCATTTGTAAGTGTTTTTTTCTTTTTGTATTATTTATTATAATTTATGTTTACATTTTTATTTCAGCTTTATTTCAGTTAACGAAAACTATATTTAATAGTTTTTAACTTTAGGTTTAGTTAACAATAACAACACAGACATATACTTTAGTACTGGAACAAAACTGAGAAATAATAGTTAAAATAATATTAATAAGAATAATAAAATCAAGGAATTGATTTGTGTGAATCTTAAGATGTTCTGCAACCTCAGAAGCATTCACCTGTGTTTGGGTTCATTGCCTTTCACTCGGTGTGGGTCAGATACAAAATAATGCATCATATTTATTAAGTTGGCTTGAGAAAGCCAACTTACTGAAATGCTATTTAAACTTATTATTAAGTTGGCTTGAGAAAGCCAACTTACTGAAATCCGTCTTAAACTTA